GCAAGGGCAACTTCAAGAAAAAGACGTTTTACTGAGCAAGAAATTGGGAAATTATAAATAACTCTCAGTCCGACTTATTGTCAGAAGATGAACTTCTAACGGCTTTTGATTGCGTATGGAATATTTGGTGCATTTGTAATTTACAAAATACAGAACAATAAATATTCTTCTCTCATCTATCTGATTTGCGGCTTGAAATAATTAGAGGAGTTTTGACAAAGTACGAACCATAAAGATCGACTACTATTGGAAGACCATCGACAAGAGATTCTCCTCTTCGTCTAACTGCTTGACTTTTCCCTTCGCTTATTCTACAAACATCGCAACCAAACCAGTCTCGAAGAAAATGCGTCGTTTGCACATCGCCTAATATTCGCCGTGATACACGATATAGTTGTCCCGACTGCGATGCACCTCTATGTATTGTTCATTGCTTCAAAGACTACCATACAAAGATGAACTACTAATGATTTTTTGACACAAAAATGTAATTTCTTCGTAAAGAAATAAAGATCACATTAAAAAATTTCATTAAAAAAAAGCCAGGACTCAAAGGGTTAAATACCAAAGGTCAAAAATTCTGGAGAGAATTTTCTTGAACTTCTCTATGCTGTCACTAGTCAGAGCATTCTGAGTCTGCCTCTGTCCAAAAAAATCGTTTTCAAAAAAACTTTTTATGAGAATGCTACGAGTTAAAACCTCTACGAATGCTGAAGATTCCATCAACATTGCAGACCATTTTGATACAATACAGTTGAGATATCATCAAAATATCGATCTGTAAACCTGCACACAATTGATCTCCTCAGAAACAGGCCATGGGCCCGGACCCTTTTCAGGGTGGACATAGTTCACTGAGCTCTACAAGGGAGTAGATGCCTAATTCGAGTTCGACTATAAATGAAAAATTCAAAAAACCACTTCCATATTCCGTCAGCACAAAAGCAAAAGAAAAAAAATTCTAATCCATCCATTAATCAACATTATAAACCAAAATGTACTCCAAAGTTAAAATAACAAAAATCTAAAAGAAGAACTTTATATAAATAATAATTTATAAATTCGAAGGCACGCCCATGTTCAAACAGCAAAAAAGCGAAAGAAAAATTTTGCATTAATTCGAATTTATAAATTCGAAGACACACGCATGTTGAAATAGCAAAAAAGCAAAAAGAAAAATTTTGCATCAATTTGAATTTATAAATTCGAAGGCACACGCATGTTGAAATAGCAAAAAAGCAAAAGAAATAATTTTACATCAATTCAAATTTATAAATTCGAAAGCACACCCATGTTGAAATAGCAAAAAAGCAAAAGAAATAATTTTGCATCAATTCGAATTTAGGGTGTGGGTGTGAGTGTAGGTGATGCTGTTCGCTGTTATTTACCCACACCCACATCCTTCTAAAACAAGATAGTTGTCTCTTGCATTTGAAGAGTCCTTGTATACTCATTGAGAATTGCGTCAAATTCGCCATTAAATAAATGTATATTGCTTAAATTAATGACAGTCAAAACATTATTACAATATGCAGGTGACAATAGACGATTGAAAATCTTAATCACCTATTGAACATGAGTCACCGCTATCTTGCACTGCAACGAAACAATCAATCACTCTTATTTCTCGTGTTTCTATTCGACATGTCTATTTTAAAAAATTGTAAATTATTTATTAGACTTTTCCGATATTTGTAACTCCTGTAATTTGAAAATATCCAGTTAATAATGGGTCTTTTCTCGTACAGAAATACATTTCACAAGTGGAAATTAATTTGGCCTGATCTCAACATTATCATTGCTGATTGAGGTGAACCACTGATCAAGTAACTAACCGTTAGTTCTTCTCTTCTATCATCTGTTCGTAATGTTTCTCTACATTAAATACTACACTATCTATGAATGATGCATGACTCATGCTACTATTCTTTACCACTATATCAACTTCTCATAGTAATTATGTATAAAAAGTAAATGCCCATATGAATCGATATTTTCCATCCAGTTCTGCACTAAAGCAGTTGACGTTAATGGCGAAAAAATTGCTGGACTCTTTGAACGACTCTGCTACCAGTTTCGTTGACTGTGAATCAGTGGACTTTTGGGAAAATCGAAAGATTTGATTTCTCAATCAATTATCTAACAGGAAGAAGAGAGGTTTTTTATTGATTAAATTTGATGTGAACGATTTCAGGCAATACTTCAATAGAATTAGCAATATTGAATAAGACTTTTCGACGGATAGAAACGCATTCGCACAGTAATAAAACAATTACTCAATGATTTAACTTCTTCTTGACAGCTTCGAATATAATAGTCGCCATTTGATCACATCCAGCTGGTGTCAAATGAATATCGTCATCCCAAATCAAGTTGCGTTCTTCAATATTACTAATGGAATGATATTGAATAGCTTTGTCAAGGTCTACAAGGCATACTCTTTCTGGTATGCTATGATTTGTCACATAGTCTCGAATCATTTGCTTCAATGCTCGTCTCTTCTTGTCATTCTTGTGTGTCGAAGGATAACAACCAACTTCCATGAGAGTCATCACCGGTAGTTTTGTAGTAACTGGTGTACGATGAAGCACCATCTCATACATCGCTTTTAAACCTTGCTCAAAAATCTTTGTGGCCGATCGTCCAGAAGCAAGATCATTAGTGTCACCCAAAATCAGAATCCAATCATAGGAAACAGCATTGCGTTCGAGAAGAGTTTCGAGTCGTTGGATCATCATCGGTACAACGCGTTCACCACTGATACCTTTAACATCAATGATGACTGGAATCTGCACCGACGCAAACAATTCGGACAAATGCTTAGCGTATGAATGGTAAGCTAAACCAGATTGATAATAACCAGCTGTCAATGAAGCACCTAAAGCAAGAAAACGAAGTGGTTGTTGACCTTCACACATCGAAAATAATATACAAACGAAGCAATGGAAAAAAAGAACCACGGTCGTTTAGATTTTATATAGGTGTTATTGCGTAAGCACATCACAAGAGAAAAAAAGAATTATATCAATATGAGTCATATTTGACCTATTTGCTAACTGATTCACTTTTTCAAACTCGTTTTAATGACACATTAGAATAAGCTGATAGTTTCTTCATTTGAGAAACCAAAAGTATTATAACTCCTTTTAAGTTTAATAAATTAAGTATTACAACATAATTATTATTTGATAAAAACAAATATTTTACCATCAGTCTTCAGAATTATCAAATATTCAAGTCTTTTCACAAATAGTAATTTGTGACAGCAATTAATGATAAAAATGAGAGATGCTAATGTAGAATGCTAAAAGCGTAAATTTAGTTTCATATACTCAATAAAAACATATCAGTAACTCTTTTTTTCCTCTGAATAAACGCTTTTCATAATGGACACAGCAAAATGCTATGAAATAAGTACTGTCCGTTTGGAATTGTTCGAGATGCAGAATCTTGACAAAACTTTACTGATCCACAGAAAGAAACTACTAAATGTACTTCATTTTAAAGTATTATGCCTCTGAGAAAATTGTATCTATGAGATACACGCTTTGCATTCCATTTGAATATTTGAGCTTTAGCTGCCATAGACTAGTCTTGAAGCTTTTAAGTATCATAATTGCTTCATTGAAAGACATCTTTTATAACTTCATATGTCAGAGACTTATCATAGAGTATTGATATTTTCATTGAAAATTACTTGAAAACTCAGAAAAAATCAATTTGAATTATATGCATCTATGCTTTAACTTTCATGAGATTTATTGTCTCACTGAAAACTGCATCCTGATCTCATTCTATGTCAATGAGTGATTCAAAAATTAAGAGATTTGAAAGAAACATACTTTAGAGAGTATGCTGGCACTCAAAGAATTATTTATAATAAATTGAGTTTGTCAATAGAGCGTACGGGCATCATTTTCAAGAAATTTTCAGTGAGCGATATTAATCTCAAATTTACCATTGATTAGTAAAATCTATTTTGTTTGTTTAGTTTTGTCTTAATTTTTGCTATTTTCTGATAAAAATAAAATTCGATAGATCTTTCATTTTTTTCTTCTCATTTACTATTTTGCATGTTATATACAACTGGTACATAACACATTTATTAAATTAGTTTCGATTCAAATCTCTATTAATTGAATGATAATATTAATTTACATTCGTAGATAGTAGCAAAAAAGAAGCATACATATATCCGAAAAGTCTAAACTAGAACTTACAACAGCAATTGAAGAATCTTTTATTTAGTTCGATTTTAAAATCAACTACAGACATGAAACAAAAATTATCCGCAAAGTCGTCTTAACAATATTTCTTAATTAACTGTCCTATTTTTCATCAAAAATATTACATACTCAAACGACATACTTAATTATAAAAAAAAAAGTTGTGATTCTTTTGGAAATTAGAATGCATTAACGTTGATTCAACATATACCAAATAGTATATGATATCATCAGATCAGCGGACCTTCTCCTTCTTTTGTTATGGACTGACGAAGACTACAAATAATTAGCTTACTATCTTTTAAATACATACAATACAGATATTGTTTCATATAAAGATGAAGTACAACATATAAGAGAAATAATACGTAATAAAAAGCTCGAAAAATTGACAACATTTCTTAAAAAATATTGATTAGTAAAAAAAATGAGTTAGGAGAAGCATTACTAAGTAATCCTATTGAGCACTTCTCTTGCTACGTTAGCATTTATTATATGCAAGTATCAAATATATCAAAAGAACATGTTATTTGTAACACGAATCAAGAATGATTGTTCGGTATTGCGCCATCCTTCTAGGCGCTAGGTTATCCTGCCTGATACGTCAATTTACTCAGCATTACATTTTCATGAAACTTCACACCGCTAAGTAATACAAAGTATATCAAGTTTTCATAGGATTTCGAGTTCTTTTCGTAAAAGTTACCCAGAAAACTTTTGGATTGCGTCCAAATTCATGTACCTCAAACATATCAGTACATTTGTGTCATTTTATTCATTTCAAAACAGAATTAAAAGAACTTGTACAATCGATAAAAGTGCAATGTATATATTGCAGTAGGTTCCAATGGCAGCAGAACGAACATCACCTAACGCTTCGATAAATCCATCACTAATCTGTAAGCGAAGCCAGTCACTGTAGACAGACACGCGTGTGTATACACCTGAATAACGGGGATCACCACAACCAATACCAAAACTAGTCACACCGGCCAATAGCCACTGTTTTTGTACAGACTCAAATCGCATCAATGGGCCACCTGAATCTCCCTGACATGTGTCTAAATTATGAATAAAAAAGTAGGTTCATTACATTATTAAAGCGCATTTTCTCACCTTTACCACCACCATCCACACCAGCACAAAACTGCGTGCTTGAGTTAGTGATAAATTCTGCGCACCTTTCATCATGTACAGGCACTACTTTTAATGTCACTTGTTGAAGATGTAGATTATCTGGTATCGATAGAGCTCCATATCTCAAATGGCCCCACCCAATGGCTACAAGCGATGTTGAATCGGCAGGATAACCAGTCTCATTACCTGGCGACTCTATACGTGGCAAGCATAGTCGAGCAGTGCTCATTTCTTCAGAAATATGAAGTGACTCATTGAGTCGAAGTACAGCAATATCATGAATCGGTGTTGAAGTGTTATAACCTGGATGAACGAATACGGCGCCTATTGAACGCACTTGAGCGGTTGTTGACTCTTCTAAGTCTGACAATCGGTCTATTCCAACAACGACGTTCGTATTTTCTTTGAATGTCGCCGCATCCGTTATACAATGAGCAGCGGTGATGACATGTAACGGTGATACAATCGATCCAGTGCAAAAGTGTTTAGCCGATTTTGTTTGCAGCGATACAGCCCAACCCCAGCTTGATGGAAAAGCGTCTTCACCACCAACTATCTTATATATATTGGCGTTACTCTTTGAACATCCGCAGTTACCAGTTTTATTACATGAATAGATAATTGCTGAGATCAAATTAACGTTGCATGCGAAGAAATAAAAGATCAGAAATCTATTGTATGCCATCAAATCAACTTTGCATTAAGCTTATCAAAATGTCAATGGTACTCTGTTTCATTATTTTTGACTTCGGTTTTTATATACACTATTACGGGAGCGATATCGAAAAAGAATATTTACAGATCTCAGCTTTCTCTATTGAATGATCGATTCACTGTAATTCAAGATATCAGATATCCTCAAATAAAGCAGAAATCCTTCTGATAACAACAACTGTTTATTGACTGTTAGAAGAGATTTTTTTATTTATTAAAATATAAAATATCAAGCTATTTTCTTTCACTTCAAATAAAAACAAAAATAATAACATCGGTCAATACAATAAAAAATTGAAAGCTATCTTTTGAAAATATAAATTAAATTCATTCTTCTCAAATCTAAGGACTTTACTGCTTATAGGTAAAGACATTCAAAAAAACACAGTTGTGCACAAGCACTATCTAACGTCTGGCTGAACG